GTCCAGGGTGTACCCTGCCCCTCGCACTGTGGCTGCTGGATATGGGCACCAGTGACCCCCGTGACCCTTAAGGCGTGTATAAATAATGAATGGATGGATAATTATTTTAATATGATATAGTCATTTCTGTGTTGTTTTGGGCAGGTCGCCTCCAAATAAATGTCTTTACAGAAAATCTAACTGCTCATTTTAAATCAATAATTTTACTTTTAATACTTAAGTACAAAAAATATCAGATACTATAAGACTTTTACTCAAGTAATATTCCTAAAGTAGACTTTAACTTTTACCAAAGTAATTTTTTGGTAAGATACTTGTACTTTAACTCAAGCATCAGTTTGTGGTACTTTATACAACACTGCTTCTAAATGTTCCAAGATCCAGATTAAGGAGTAGAGGTGATCGTGTTGCTGCTCCTAATCTTAATCTACAGAATAAACTGTACTTTAAAATTAGAAATACTCAAAGCTTTGAAAACTTATAAGTCCTTTTGAGACTCAATTTTATTCAATTGCATTTAATTAAAGTAAAACCCTGACATTGTAATTGTAATTTATCAGTTTTTACTGTTGTTGGTTGTAAATTATTGTGTATTTTTACCATTTTTGTGGTTTTCGTTGCAGCCTTTAGCTGTTTTTTTCCAAAGTGCTTTATAAATAAAATTGACATAAAACATAAAGCATATCCTCATTTTGTGTCCTGCTGCGTTGTGTACTAAATGGTTTCCAGTCACCACAGTGCTGCCATGAAAACAACGTTGGTTCTGATCCGGTTCTGGTCTGCAGTCAGAGAACCTGCTGCTCAGCCACCTGGTTTCCCTTCACCAAAACCTGAGCACCATCTGCACGTTTGACCATTCCTGTAGGTTGTTCCTAAAAAAAATGCTCCTTTAGCTAAAAGTAGCAAAACACRAAAAACTAAGAYTCTGACTAGAAGCTAAAAGTAGCTAAATGCTAGCTCAATAAGAACAAACGCTAAAAAGAAGCTGCTGTTTGAAGCCCCCCGGCTCCTACCTGAGCCCGTAGAGAACCGTCCCATCAGGGTGCAGCCGAATCATGCGGTTCTTCACCGTCACACCGTGGACGAAGGATTTTTTGTCGTTAATGAAGTAGGTGTCTGGGACCCACAGCTGGTCGGCCACCCGGTTGTCCAGGGTCAGGTTGAGGGGAATCCCRGTGTAGGACAAACGCTTGTCCCTCCAGGACTGCTGGAAGTACATGGTGATGGTGTAGTCCTGAGGGACGAAGGCAGAAAAATGGCACATCATCAGGTTATTGATCGGTTCATGGTCTGTGTGTCCGCCGGGACGCATTTCTCACTTTCAGACACAGCAGAGATTCATCCTGAGGGTTATTCCCTTCAAATTACAAACAATTATTATGTGTTTCTCAAGCATATATTTAAATTCTATACCATAATAAAGTAAGTTTTAAACAAAGCTCCACTGCCTGGCTACTTCAGGACACTAGGATTTCTCGAACATGAATGAATGAGTCAAAGCAAGACTCTGGACATGTTTTTGATGAGAGGATAACATTATAATATGATATAAAACTCCAAAAAGTTGATTTTACATGATATTGCCCCTTTAAGAAGTAAATCTTTCTTTTTTTATTTTGTACAGCATGAAGTCACAACAAAAGTCACCTAAAAGCAGCTTTAAAACCAACTCAATCTAGTTTCTATCTCAGGATCACGTTACCTTTAAAGGGTTCCATGATTAGTTGTAACATTAGACTTTATTTGATAAACATGTATTTTAACTGTAAAATAAAAACTGTAAAAATACTGTAGGCTGTTTAGTTTTTATCATTTTTAAACTAAAAGGCTAAAAATTTATTATATGGATGGAGGACAACAGAGCTGCTTCATGGAAGAAGAACCTCAGATTAGCCTGTTAGCCTTTGGGCTAGCACTGACGCT